ATTCCAAAATAATTCATATGCATCCTCATGCATCTTCAGTCATTTCCACTGGGTGGGATTATCATTAGTGTCCATCTCTGTGGATAATCTGTAGGCTTGAAATAACCTTTGGCCTACTTTACAAGTTGGACCTATTTTATGAGATGAGCCGAATCTTTGTTCAATTTCTTGTAGCATGGAACAGATAGAAGAATGATGCCTACTCCTGAGGAGGCCAATTAAGTGGCGCGACAGAAGTAAGTTCTGATCACATTCATGGACTGTGTCAACCAGAACATGTGACTAAAATTAATCCACTTGCATTTGACAGAGCTGATCAGAACTGGGGCAGATTCTTCTATCAACCAGAGCGTCGGGCTGTCCAGAGGTTGTCGACGATCGTCTCAAGACGGACATCACGAAGCCACTGAAGTGAAGCCTCGAGGTGGTCCTCGAGTCACCAGCAAAGTCAGCATATCCACTGCCCGCCAGTTCTGCCAATCGCACTCCACGAATCGGTACTCTGAGATCCACCTCTTGCCTCACCAGTGCCCTCTGCCTCACAGCCTCTCCACTCCAGGCCCAACTCTACATCTGCTTATCCTCGGACTCGTCTTCTTCTGCTTTAGCTGATGGTATAGACCCCTTTCGTTTGGCCAACTTGAGCACCGTCTTTCTCGCTTGTTAGAACCTCATCAACATCAACTTCGTTGCAGACTTTCGGTTCGTCAGAAAGTGATCCCGAAAGAGGCTCCTTTGTTGATCTCCTCGGATGACGACGTTTGGTTGACGCAATCTACGAGACACCCTCCCTCGCCTAAGGTGACAAGTGACTGAATTATTTGTCTATCCTGACACATGACAGACATCCGCACAGCCGGAACTCATTCTTGCGAGAGATTTGAGTTAATACAACGCAAAGAAGACTGTCCGGCCCTATCCCATTTAATCATACTTTTTCATCTGAGCTAAATGTTCAATTATGGACTCCTCGATTGCAGAGCTATGAATTCTGAGAAATTGTTTTTTACC